TTAAATGTGTGAAATGCTGATACATTTTTCTGGTTTTCTTACAGTACTTGGTGAAGCTAACTGGGAAAAACACCTTGCGGTCCGCGCAGTAAACATGTTACTTTCCCTTCTCCACCCACGCAAAGAAACTACACCGAGCGTCGGGGTTGGAGGCGTGTCCCTGAGGACGGGCGCAAACAAAGAACTGTTTCCCCATGTTCGGCCCCTCCTTCTTCACCGTACGCAGCACACAGGGTTCCCTATGGACCTTACAGGAGGGCGGTGGAGGCGGACCATGAAGCACGGACTTCCAGAACCCTAACGAAGCCCCTTTTTTGGCACCGGACTCTCCCCCATCGGGCGCTGGGGCTAAAGGTTTTAGATTCATCGGTTTGTCACTTTTCATTGAGGTGCAGAGCTTTGGTGAAGCATCATCGAGGAGCTCAGGGACAGTTTCGCTGCTTGTGACTGAGGATGTGTCTTTGCTGGTTGTGCACGCTTTTTGGGAGTTTTGAGAAGAGGTTACTTTGTCCGTGCCGAGTGTTTTCTTTTCAGGGGCTTCGGTAGAGGGAGCAGCCGTAGGAAGTTTGGGTTTGAAAAAGGAGAGGAGGCTGCCCTGTGGCTTTGGACAAGTCTTAGCCTTTTTCCCCTTTGGGACAACCGAGTCTGATGTTGTTAATAACCGTTTTTTACCAGAGGCGTTTCCAGCTCCGGATGGCTTTAAATTCTCCCTCAATTCCTCCTCTTCCTGAGATCCAGGTAATGCCTCCCTGTGCTCGGACTGAATCGTTTTCTGGTCCACTTTAACAAAGAAGCGGGACAGTTTCTGCTGCTTGCCTGCAAACTCTGGCAGGTAGCATGTGCAGAAGGGGGGAGCCTTGGAGCTGGGCAGGAGGGAGCAGCTCAGCTTCCCCCACACAGGGCAGTGGTCCGACCCCTCCACCTCCGGCATGATGTCCGCCGCCACGAACTGCTCTTTGGCCAGCTGGCAGTCGGCGAAGATGTAGTCAATGCGCGTGCCGTAGTTGGTCTGCCGCGCTCCAGTCATGGTGGACCAGCACGTGAAGGCGCTGGTGCGAGTCGGATGGAAGTGGCGAAATGTATCCATAAATTTCCCACCGTGGACGGGATCTGAGGAAGTTACCTCAGGTTCTTCCTTGGGTTCTTCCTCATTCGTTTCACTGTGCAAGAAGCCATTCAGCCATTTCCTCCCAGGGTTTTCAACGAAATCCTCCTAAGTAATGAGAAATGTAGAGTTTTGTCCTTGTTCAAAATAAGCCTGATATAATAACACCACCACATGCTTCCTTGATGCGATAGATAACACCCCCGGAAACGTTGAACAGCTGAGCAGGTTATACACATGAAATATGAGATTGAAAGCTGCCAGTGGGCGGATTGTTTTACATTTGATCAGCTGTTTAGTGTCTCAGCTGTTTTAGTCAGAAATAAACTAATCTAACTGCTGGCTGTAACTTCATATGCAGACATGAGATTGGTATCAAAAATATTCTCTGACTCTTGGCAAGATATTGGAAAATTACATTTCCTAAAAGACGAGCAAATATGAATGTATTCAAATGTACTTACAATATCGCTGGGGTCACAGTGGTCTATTTGCCGGTGAGACGTGTTTACATCTCCTAAAACAATCACGTGGCTGAAAAATAGAACAGGAAAAACATTATTTTGCTAGTTTAAAAAAAGTAAGTAGCAAAAACTCTCATGGTACATTTTCCAAAATAAGTCATACATTAGCTGTTTCTTTTACCGCATTGTAAATGACTTAAAGTGTTTATCCACTCATGACAGCAGTGTGATGTTCAAGCTCAAATGTGCAACAGCTGAAAACTGGTCAAATGTAGCAGATTAAGAAATAAAGATTACAGATTAAAAGTTGAAATATTTGTGTAAAGATTGAAACTAGAATCTTTCTTTTCAGTCTTTGAACACTCTCACCTCCCATCTTTCAGTATAGCTTCAGCCCGACTCTGAAGCAGTTTGTAGAACTGAAGCTTGAACTGCTTTCGCTCCGGCTTTTCAGGGTCGGCCCGCGGACAGTACACGTTGATCACAGTTACAGTTTGTTCTTTGTCCTGACACCTGTGGGGAAAAAGAGAGTCAAAAAGAGGCATGGACACAAAACGTTACGACTATATTAAAAAAATCTGAGTAACCGTTGATATGGTCGTTATCAACGTGTCTGTTTTGATCTACACATTTCTTCTGATACTTGAATTGCATAATTCATTTTTAAATCTTCTACTTCCTGGGCCCTTCTCTTTCTGTGTCCTGGATCAATGTCATTAAAGTGATTCAGCCTCTTCTCCTGTCTCTCTTCCAATGTATCTTATGGATATTCAATATTGTAATTATAACATGTTGGTCTATTCTGTAAACACGCCATCTATTGTTGTTCCGTCCTGGAAGAGTAATCCATACTGAAACGCTATAACTGAGGTTTTCTTAAATATTTACCCCAATAAAAAATTGGTAAGGGTTTTCTTTCTAGTCCAAAGCAAGTGTCACAAAGGAAAGAGGGTATCATATACAGTGCAGAATATAAACCTTCCAGTAGTACATTTGTCATTTGTAATATTGGGCTATATCAATCAAATTGACTAGACTTGACTTGTAATAGAAAATCTGACAGCTAGTAAAGATTGTGAGTGCTATTCCATTGCATAACCAGAGAAAAAACAAACAAGTACCGCACGTGAAACATGCAAGAAGAATGTCTGGATATCTCTTACATGACTCTGTGCTGTGTGATAACGGTTCGTCCTTCATTGTCCAGAAGCTGCAGTTCCTCGCTGCAGAACTCAGACTGGTCTCCATAACATCCAACAGCTCCTTCATGGTGGGTCAGCAGACCGGTGAGACCCTCTTCAGCAGCACATGGGGTGGCACTGTCTTTACAGTAAGTGGAAACCCCTGTGCATGTGAGGAATGGGACGGGAATTAGTTTGTAAGGTCATAGTAAGGTATCTGTAAAGAATGTGTAACAATGGGCAGTGGCATTAACAGGGTTCAGTTTGGATTAATGACAAGTTAATAATAGATGTATCTTAATCTACACTATTGTGGGGTTGTGGTGGAAGAAGTATTTACATTCTTCAAGTAAGTAAAAGTACAAATAGCAAACAGTAAAAAGACTTGGATTGGAAAGGTTACTTAAGTCAAAGTAAGTATAAACAGTAAATGTTAATGGAATATTAAATGCAAAAACACCAACAACAACCCAAAAAACACAACCAATATTCAAAATAGATTAGAAAATGAACCTCATGTTTATTGATTAAATGATTATATAATGAATGACTGATCTCTCAATTGACTAATTAATCGAATAGGCTGTTTTTGTATAAGCTGTATCTAATAATAAAACATCGTACTTTATAAACTCTTGTGTTTTTATGCAGACATCTTAATTTGTAAACCAACTACAGCTGTAAAATGTATGTAATGTAGTAAAAAAGTGTAATATTTATACTCAAAGAAACGTAATACTACCTCGATTTTGCACACAATTAAAATACTCGATGTGCAATTAGCTACATTACATTATTGAGTCTGGGTGGATAAAATATAATGTAAAAGAAAAAACTGTACATAACAATTCAAAGCCGTAAAAATCAATGTATAAGACAATGTAATGAACCTGAATAGCCGCTGCGTCCTCGACTGAAGCTGAAATAAGAGTTGTATCCGTCAACAATGGCAGTCCTCTCATCAAGCAAGTCTCCTGTGGGGGAAACATTAATTAAGGGGTTACACCTCTAATATCTCTCATAACAAACTTCATGTCCACATGACAGCCTCTCCACGTTTTCAAGCAAACACCACTTACTTGTCACTTTTGTCTCTTGAACACAGATTATATCCGCGTCCAGAGAATCAAGAGCCTTTTTAATGCCTCCTCTGAAAGTCCTTATGCCATTTATGTTCCAGGTAACGATCTTCATTGTAAATCAATAAATAAATCTACCGTTTTTTGACAGACAGCACGGATGTATACAAAGATTGAGCTGCAAAGCAGCCAGACGCACATACAGGAAGTAGAACGGAAGAAAAAACAAGTACGACCGGAAGTGTATATTTGACATTTATTGTATTACTTCTCTTATGTTGGTTAATTTATCATGCTTAAATCCTGGGGGACCACTTGTGTTTGTTTTTTCTTTTCTGTTTTTCCCCCTTAGTTTTGAATTAATGTAACACTGATGTTTATGTGCCTTTTATTTTTACTGATTTGTAAGATGTAAACTGTTTTTTATACTTTATACGCACCATTCAATGTTATTGACTAAAACATAAGCGCCATTCAATGCTATTGACTAAAACACAAGCGCCTCAAAGGTTTTTAAATTACTCTAACTCTAACCCCAACCCTAACACTAATAAATAAACACAAAAACTAATTAAAGAAGCTATAAAATAGTGCAAGGGAATGTTGCAACTGTCTAATGTGCATAATTGTGTAGGTTAATGAGTTTGAATATTCTATTAAATACAGAACATAAAGACATGTTGTAATTGCATTGCGCAGTTGCTTAGCTAGGGGGGGTGAAAGTGCTTTCAGGATTTCGGCGCGCATTTGACACCCAGACCTGAAACCAGGATGTGCTCCGGCCATTGAAGCCAATTTTATGAATGGCTGTAGTGGACAAACGGTGGTACTACAACCTTCATGACGTCATTTTGGCACCAGAAGACTTTTTCTTCTGGGATTGACATTGGGAAACAGAAGTCTGTAGATCAGCCAGCGTATATATAAAATATATTTTTTGAGCAAAATAAAGTACCCAACACGAACACTTGTATAGCCCCTGTTAAAATCAATAGGGTCTCAAACTCAAAGATTCAAAATGTAAAAAAATGAGCCGAGAGCGGGAGATCGGATTATAGGATCGGATGCGAGAAAACTCCACTGCGCATGCTCAGTAAGCGGGTGATCCGGGTACTTTCTGAATCTACAGTTGCTCTATTTTGCCTTCCTGCGCCACTGAGCATCTCTCATAGGAATGAACGGAGTCCCGCCTCCAGTTCTCTTTATACATCCATGCCTGAAACCAGAGAGCCGGTGGGAGGAAGGGAAGCGGCTGTTGTACCCCTGGCTACTATCGTTATTAGAAACCGTTACCGCTGTCATTTCCCCAAGGAAGTAAATAGGGGACGTTTATTCTCAACTGACGTTCTCCATCTTTGAAGGAAACCGAGAGGGTGAGTAGCTAGTGTGTGCTAATGGTCACAGTTTAAGCGGTAGCTAATTAGCTCCTTTGACAGGACATGACTGACGTTAGAGACAACGGAGAACAACCCTTTGAGGCGTGGAAACACATGTAATATCGTAAATTCAGTTAAGCCTGTTTAAATAAACGAACTAAATAAAGTCAAGAAGCTAGCTTGCTAAATGCTTTAATACGACGTTGCAAGCTAGTAATTGTTAGCATTGTGTTGTCTTCACCAGGCTATAACTACACTTGCTAGCCGTCTGTGTCCTGTTCATAGTCCGTATTGTGTCACTGTCAGAATAGTATTCATTGTCTAATGAGGACTTATTTAATGTCAGAGTATTGACCTCCTTTCTTTTAATCTCAGTTGATGCTAGTTTGAGGGTTAAGGAAAACAGATGCTTATGTGATGCATCATTTGGCATCACTCGGGTGTGTGTGGTGTTTCCATCTTCGGTCAAAGGAGAGGACACGAGGAGGAGATGGGGGATGTCCGCCCCACCCCAGTCGATGAGGGTCGTCAAAGTTAATCCATATTGTTTCCAATCACTGCTACTCTGTGGATGACACTAATACAACACTTTAACCAGCTGTCATAACCTTGTAGCTAACACCAGCTATAAGGCTAGCTTGTTCTGTAAAGATGTAACGTTGCTGATGTTGAAGGCGTGGGATGGTGCATGCCAGGAATCACCAGTGACGGTGTTGAAATACCATGGGTTTATCGGTACCTGTTAAATAAGGCAAATAGCAGAAATGTGATAGTTTTCTAGTCCAGATACATATTTACTAGCTTCAGTCCTTTATGTCTTGGATGTATAGTCATTTGGCTTTCTGAGTTCAAAGTACAAGGTTACCCATTCAAATAATCCCCAAGACCACCACACAATATCGTCTGTAACACCACGGTTGTGTTATAACACTACAATGTGCAATATATAATGTAAACCATTTACTCATGTTATAACTGGCTGCTTCTTCAATGCTCAGACTGGTTGAAAGAGGACTGTGCTACAGTATGTGCAAAATATACACCTTTTACACACTTATGATGTTGTCACTTGCTGTTCAGTTTTTTACGTGTTCCTATTTGATTTTGTATTATGAGCAGGTGCTTTCCTATGTATTTACCATGTTATTATTATTATTATTATTATTATTATTATTACCAGCTTTATTTCTGCCTTTGTATCCGCCCCCTGTCCCTTTGCTATAACACTTTAAATGTCCCTGCTCCGGGACAAGATTCTAGATTTTCTGATGTTGTGCTTGTTTAAGAAGGCCAATAGCAGCAATATGCTAGTTGTAAATCCTTGTGAGTTATACATGCTAACTACATAATTAGAAACGGCAGTAATTAATGGCTTGGATTTTTGCCATTTTGGGCTGAAAGTACGCATTTTCCCATTCAACCAATCCCAAAGATAATCCTGCCCTATGCGGTTTGCTGAATCTTCATCACAATGTGATTTATACAAAACCTCTTTCCATTGTTGGCTTTTTTTGAAAAGGCCTTTTCATAATCACCATCTTTGTGTTTTGCCTTTTGTAGTGTGAAGTAATGAGAGTGGGGGAGAGAAGGAGGCAGGACTCCCAGTAGAACATTGGCAGCAAAGTTGAAGGCCAAGCAAAGATGCTGGAGGCGGATGAAGACGCAGCAGGTGCAGCAGAAGAGAGAGAGGAGGCCGAGATGGGGAGCGGAGACTATACGTCTGAGATGAGGCGGCTGAATCTGGAGCTCCAGGAGGCCACGGAGGAGAAGCTCCAGGCAGCGCGCTATGGCCTGGAGGTGCTGGAGGAAAACTCTGCTCTGAAGATGAAGCACAGGCAGCTGGAAGAGGAGCACGAAGTCCTCAAAGGGGAGCTGCAGCAACTCAGAGCGGTAAGAGCACCCAAGGCATCACAGTTATATCTAGACAACATTAGGCTGTAAAAACCAATTCCTTCAGCATTGCAAGTGTTATTGTCTGTCAATGGACTACTGCCTTATATTTTCTACATGTATCGTTCACACAGCAAAAGTAGAATTCTCCCCTTTTTTATAAATAACCAAATTTGTCTCTGCATCAAATTGATTTGGTTGTTGATGAACACAAACATTTCCTGAATTCAAATGTCATAATACCTATCTGATGAGGACTATTTAAAACCTCTGTCCTGCGTGTATAATTCTCATTACATTACATTACACAGAATATTCTTCTACAAAAGCTGCAATCTTTTTATATGTGAGATATTTGTCGGAAATTGTAATAAACTATTGCAATACTGAAGGATGTTTATTAAACATGATGCATTTTACCAGTATTATCACAGCTTTTTTATCATTAGCCTGCAATAGCATTGTACAAAAATGTCGTGTAGAATTCCCTGCTGTTGTGACACTGTCGGCAAAATGTAAATGCTCGGCTATCTATTGATGCTGATCCCTATTCCTTGCAGTGTACCTAGTAGTCCTATAAAGACACCATTGTTGTATTTTTACATACTAGTGAGCCATGCCTTGAATTTGATTTCTCATCCCTTTATTGCATGTTGGCCACCCTGTCCTTCTGCCATCACAATACCAGTTCTGTACCAGCTGTGACCTCATGTAATGAGTACAATGCAGAGGCTTGTGATTGCATACCGAGTCAGTTCTGCTCTCGTATGTCATTTGATGCTGATGGCGGTCAAAGGGAAGAACACTGTCATTAATTAAGGACAACTCAAACAAGCCAATTAGTCAGCACATCCGGTGCCTTTAGAGTAGGACATTTTCTCTGTTCATCCTAAACTAGCTTAACTGAAAATCATTTAGTATGGATTTGGGTTAATTAGGGATATCCAATACAAAAAGAATCAGCCGAATATATCAGATAACAATGTAATCCAAGTGTCACGGATCTATTCAAATTGTGACGTATGCATTGCATTGTGCTTCCCAGTATTATGCTTTCACTGTTTCTTATGAGTTGAGTCGTTGCACAGTGAAGTGAAGTGTAGTTTGTAGCGCGCTGCTGTAGCTGACAGTAATCGTTTCTTTGTTTTAAGTCATTATTAAAGTTATGCTCATGCCAGCACTGGACATGTGTTGGGGGTTAATTTGTTTCCTGATTGTTAACTTTGTCACGAAAGCACCAGATGGGTAATGCATGCATTTAGTATTGCTGTAATAGGCTTGTAAAATGGGTTCATATGAAAAGGGTAAGCGCATCAAAGGTAATGCCGTCATGTGAGCAGATTTGTAGCTGTAATTGTTTCACCCACCTCTTTTACAGTGAGATGCTTAACATCTTGTTTACAAGCAGTGGAGTATTAAGCAATACATATGTGCCAGAACCACATTAAAACTGGTCCATCCTGATGTTTCATAACTAAATATGAAGCAAAGCTCTTAATGACTTTAGGGACGCAGTGGTACAGTATTTCAGCTATGTTAATAATCTGCATAAACCTCATGTCTGGGCTGTGTACCTACCCAGGCTTTGGCAGGGTTTAAACAAAGCAGAGCGGACTCATGTGTTGTGAATTAGCATCATTATATAACTAGAATGATCAGTTGAGCGTGTTCAGTAGCATGTTTATCTAACACCTATTCTTTCATATGCAGTCATTGATGCAAAATGTGTCATGGCTGCTGAAAATGGCCGACTTTGGAGAATTATTATTACAAGCTAAGTGCAATGCTTTCGGATCATCATCTACAAATCGAGTGTGGAAGCTGCTATTAAGGCCCGAGGTGTCTTGTTACAAAGCCATAACAGCCATTTCCTCAATGTAATCGGTTTAAACCGGATGGGTGTCAGGGAAGTGCTGATTTCATTTGTTTAAGATGTCTACATTTCTTGCCTTGATATCAGAAGTACAGCATGAATGCAAAAGAGTGGTGCAGGAATAGGTTACAAAACTCGGAAGTGAGTGTGCTTTTCCCCCTCTTCCTGTTTCCTTGTCTGAAGGATATAATGAGAAGCGTTATCCCGCAGAACAGGAATCCACCTTTAGCTTGGTAACCAGTGCCATGTGAATGTGATAGCCTTGTTAGCGTTTTACTTTTGGCAATTGCATCTTGCTTCAATAATCATGAATTGATGTTAACATTTGGAGATAACCCTTATGTACAATACGTGTAAATGTCATAAACGTTTGTTTACCGCAGATCTTTTTTCCGACACGTTTCCAAAGTCCAATGGCAAAATCCTATTGCTTTTTGTCGAGGGAACCCTTCGCAATTCCAACTTCCGGGTCAGCCTATAAAAACACATCATCACTGCACCACTCTATTGTCCTTATGCACTGAAATGTTGATCCTAAATGTAACATACTGTAGCCTGACAGATACCGCAGGGTTTGCCCGTTCCTAAACCATATTCTGTTTGTGTAAAGGCATTTTCAGATTCTGTGAGCAGCCAGAAGCGTGCAGCTGCTGATGGAGAGTGTCGGGAGGAGAACCTGATGCAGGAGACGGCCACTATGGAGGCCGCCTTGACAACTCGCATGGATGAAGTCCAGGCAGAGCTCAAACAAGCACGCCTTGCTCTGAGCAATGCACATGCAGAGATCGATAGACTGGGGGTGGTCTCCACCCAGCTGAAGAAGGTAAAGCCAAATCTAAAGAAGGTGTTGTTTAGGGGTGGGAATCATCAGGCTCCCCACGATACCATACTATCGCGATACTTAAGACCCCTGGCATTGACCACCTACTCCAATCGATGTCATATTCGTAGTCTATATTGACCGCACGGAAACAGGTGGTAGTCTCTTCCCTTACACTGACGTTCCGGCATTTTGTCCCTTTTTCTCGTTTTTGTATCGGATGCGTGTTTGACCGTAGAAGTAAATAGCCAACCGGAATTAAAACTTACCTAACTTTCCACAACGATGTAACGAATAAAAGACATATTGTAGCTCGTGGAGAGACACAGAGCATTTCTGCATCTCCCGTTACGTGTGAGGTGGCATGTATTCTTATTTATGTAATCTTTTGGCACTCTTTCGTCCATAAGTTTACAGTTTCTTTGGTAGTCGCAAGGTTCGGTTCGTTGGACTGTTTCTTTACAATTTTCTTGAGGTGTGTGTTTCTCTAATTATTAAAATTTACTTACAAGGGATATTCGAACTCACCGCTGAGTTTGCGGACCAAGCATAACACGTTGGTTGCAAGTTTTGAGCTCAAATTTTATGCTAATTACCGTGTTTGGGATGGCTATACATAGCATATGTCCTGCGGTTCATAGCTATAAAATAATATAGTTTTAAGTATAACGTTTAATCGGCTTACTGACCCTTTCCATGTTAGTTTAAGACTCGCCGATTTGGACGAAGTCACACGTTCTGGACGCCAGGTATAGCCGCAACTCACCTCTTGCTCCGAAAACAGTGTACAATGTTCTGTGACCTAGTTGTATAGTACACGTTAGTGATGTCATTGGCATAAAAGACTGATATTCCGCGTGGACTTATATTCGGCGTCGGTCGATTTAACTTACTACACATGTATATATTCGCGACCTGGATATTCGGCGTCCACATAATTACAAATTACATGGTATAATATCCCAAGCAACGTGTTCTCCCCTAACAGCCCTTTCTCTACCCGACCATAACTCCTTCGAGGGTTAAATAATTGTAAGTTTGTTTGTTCAACGTATAAACGTATTGCATATAGTTCACAATGGTAAATACACGTTATTCATCGAATGTCTTGTACATGCACCGACACATTTGACCATGGACTAGTGTATCGCAAAGTCTGTGTGTTTGAAATACGTTGAAAGTTTGAATTTTCGCCCGCGAGGGTCGGCGTCTGCATGGCCGTCACTACGTGTCGTCACCAAAAAGTTGGTCACCATGACCCCGTTTGACAGGAGCGAGAGCATTCAGGACAGACAGAAACGAGGAGCAGAGACAGGAGAGCATGGTGAGAGCCAACGGTGAAAATGACAATACGCGCGATGGACAAGTGGCAAAGTCCGGAGGTCTAAAAGGACGGACCTCGGGCGGCGAATTCCACCCACAGGCGCCTGGCCGGTATCTCGGGATACTCAATTCCACCACCTGGGAAATTGGACATTTTAGGTATCTAACTCCTCCAGGGGGATCACGGCAATCGACATCTTAGTATCTACATCGGCGTGGCAATATATCGGCGTCCCAGCTTTTTACCCTTTTTTCCGCGCCGAATATCAGGCTTTTATGCCATATAACTTTATAGCGTTATGTATCGTATAGACTCTTTAGCGTTATGATANTTTACGGAGTTATTTTTTTGGGAGGCCTGTGAAGATGCTGTTGCAGTAGTCAAGCAGGACCTTGAAAAACTTGTCCATGCATTTGTTTTTAGCAAGCTTGACTACTGCAACAGCATCTTCACAGGCCTCCCAAAAAAATAACTCCGTAAACTCCAACTAATTCAAAATGCTGCTGCCAGTGCTAACCGGACAAAGAAAACAGATCAGTGCTGAGATCGCTGCATTGGCTTCCAGTAACGGAGAGAATTGATTTTAAGATTTTATTGCACACATATAAAGCACTAAATGGGCTAGGACCCAAATATATCAAGGACCTCCTTCAGCAGTACGAACCCAGCAGACCCCTTAGGTCTTTAGGCGCAGGCCGGCTCACTGTTCCATTTGTGAGATCAAAGCGTGGGCAAGCAGCTTTCTGCATCTATGCTCCTAATGCATGGAACAAACTCCCAGAACATCTGAGAATGGCTAGCACTTTAGAATAATTTAAATCAGGTCTAAAAACATTTATTTTTAACATGGCTTTTTAATTTTCTAATTTCTGAACTGTTAAACATGGTTTTCTTTCTTTTAATTGTTTGTGTGTTTTTGTATTTCTTCTCCCTATGACCATATTAAAATGTATTGTGTTTTTATCTGTTTGATCCTGTAAAGCACTTTGAATTGCATCACTGTATGAATTGTGCTATGCAAATACATGAAAAGGGAACACCCAAACAAAGCATAATAACTTTGACTTTGACTTTGATAATAAGGCCCCTTTAAATGTCCCACATCCAGTGGCACCTCAGGTCTTACACTGTTTGTTTAGGAACAAGCTCCAGTAACTTGTAAACATGCACAATGTTCCCACTCTTATCACATGTGGGCTATCTTAAAAAAGATCTCCTAAGTTAATTACCATCACTGAGACTTCCAGCAGGAGGCCAACTATCACTGAGTTTCCACCCACACCGTAACGAAGCCCCCCTCAGCTCACTCCCATTTTGCATGCTCTGTAACGACATGTTCATTGGTGTCCAGTGTGAACCCTGTTGAATTAATGGGATTACCTGTAGCCTTGTACTTGCAAACCGACCCTCAAAACTACAGGCGATTCCTTTCCATTTGTTCAAACCCTTGTGTTGACACCTTTTCAGTGCAGACACCTGGTGAGCGGACCCCTTCAGTCTCTTTCTACCTGCATCAGGTTAAACAAAGGGTTAAGTATGGGTGTTCCCATTTCCCGCTCACTCCTCCCTGCCTGTAATCTCTCTCACTCTCTCCTCTCTTCTTCACTACCAAGGAGCTTTGGAGAGGAGCTCCTAGGAACACAAGGCCAAACATAAACATTGGAAGACTCTGGAAAATTGAGAGGGCTCGCACCAGGATTTATTCTGTCAATATTTAAAAGAAAAGTAGATTTGTTCTTGATCACCAGGGTAAGTTTCTAAGATAAAATGTGTGTATGTGTTGAGGAAGAGAAAGGAAGGGCTGTCTGTCAATAGTGAGCTGCTGTTGCGTCAGATGAAAGCCATGTGGTGTGTAGAGCCACACAGTGAGGATACATTAATAACTACTGGGTTTAAATTAAGAAGTCTTGGTAAAGATTGTCATATTTAGCTTATTATTCTAATTGTGAGAGTTTGTCAAGGGCTTGAGATGGGTTGTTTGAAATAAAGCTTTTGTTTTGTTTCCAACTATCACAATCAATCAATCAATGTGTATTTATATAGCCCAATATCACACAGTTTACATTTGTCTCAGGGGAATTTCCAGTTTGTATGTGACTGTTTCCGGGCTTTCTTTTTTGAAGCAGTTTTATGGAAATATTTCTAGTTAACCAGGTTTCTCTAGTATCCCATCTCTCTCACATGAAAATGCAAAGTATGGTATTCGTAAAAGCTGTGGGACTAACTAACGCTTCAAAACTGGCTATTAGTGGAGGTTAAATGACTAAATATTCCTGACATTTACCCTTAACTCTGTCGGTTGTGTGTGTGTTGGCTGCAGGCCATGGGAAAGTCTTGGGGTATGTAGTGGAAGAAGGTTCCTGGAACCACACTTGACCTGAGGCAAGTATGCAGGGAAAAGGCTACTCTGTATTTAGACGAAATAGCACGTTTTACACAGCAACCCTTTGTCTATCTCTGTGGCTATATCAAACTGTGAGGATTATTATGCGTCCACAGGCCAGCGCATTGATGAGCGTAGGACGATAAGAAACTCTGGTTTTGTGTGAAACTCTTAAGGAATGGCACAATGTACTGTGAGTGTGTCCTTTAGGGGTCAAATGTGAAAATCCTGAGGGCAGTAGGAGTGAAGTATCCCATGACCCCGGGGCAGCAGCAGACCTACGCTCGTTCCCAGAGTCCGTCCATGCCAGCTTTCTGTGGGCCACAACAGATTAGAGCAACATAAGTCCTCTGACAACATTTGTTATTTAAAGCCTTTCATGTCACACGAGCTCTAATTGGACTTAAGTGTCCCCTTTTATATTTTGTGAACTACTTGTGTGAGGGTTTTAGTATCCTGATATCTGAGTTCAATGATTTCTGAAAAATCAACTATCTCCACCTGCAGGAAAAATTACAGTGGTGTGACTCTCAAGACTTTAGAAATAGGTCTGGCCTTTATACGCCACATTTTCTGTTTGTGTTACAGCAATCTGATTCAGTGTTTCCTGTGTACAGTGGCATCCGTCTGTTTGAGTAGCAGGTATGTTTACCTTTTAAAAGGCTGAGTTTATTTAAAGACAGCTGACGTCTGCCACTGTGACACACCTTTATATCAAATAAGTGGTAGAACAGAAGCATCTCCACATCTGTCTCGTGGTACTTTGCTCTTTGATTTAGTCTTTATCTGTCCTCTTTATGATTCCTGAAAGGAAAAGTCACAAGCTGCTTGCAGTCTTCACACATGAAACAAATAATGGAAAGTTGGCAAGATCGATGCATGAAGCGTGTTTGTTATGGAAAAACAATCCAAGCTGAACTCTCTGAACATGATTAATAGTAAACAATGTTAAGGAGTTGAAGGCATGAATAACAAAAAAATAAACAACCTTTTTCTCTTAACCTCTATCCAGGTGACAATTTGAAGGGGATTCTTTCAGTCCAGCAGAAGTACATCTAGAAAAACTCACAACCTCTGCAACCAGCATGGAGCTTCAGAAGTTGAACGGACACAGCAAGGACAATGGGTAAGTGTCACAACTTCATCTTAAAGGAGCCATATTAAACTCATCTTCAGGTTCATATCAGTATGTAGTGTCTCTACTGTGACATGTCTCCATGCTTTAATGTTCAAAAAGCTCTTTATTGTTCTCATACTGCCTGTGCTGCAGCACCTCTTTTCACCCTCCG